GGAAGGAGTTGTTATGGGTCCTGAGCTTCATGGGGTTTGGGAAGGTGTGGCTTTGTCAGAGGGGACAGGCAGGGCACCTGCCCTGTAGCTACGATGCAAAGTCTCGTAGCAGCCTCCGAGGCGATGTGGGCTTCCCTGCGCCACGGGGGACGGAGACCCGCGGGGAAGGGGGCAGCGGGGCGCTGGTTGGGCCACGCATCCACGCGTAGCGGGAGGCACCACTGAGCTGTGATGACTGCCCCGGCCTTGGGACCGTACCTGGGAGGAGGGTCCTGAAGCCACACAGCACGTTCAGACGCCCTTGGCTGGGAACATCAGGTCTGCTGCAAGTGAGCGAGTTCCCCGTCGTCTGACGCAGGGTAAGGACTTGCACCCTGGCTTCCGAGAGACGGTTACATCCCCACCATCTTCTTTATGCTACAGAGTAGGGTTTTGCATCCAGCAAACCATAAACGACACCTTGTCTTCACTAATTGCTCTCAGTGCCAGGGTCCGGCCTTGTCCTTCCCTCCTGCTTTTGCAAGAGCCTGATCCATGTCCCCAGACCCCGGGGACGGTCTCGGCGGGTGCCCGGGGCAGATGTCGTGGCTGCGGGGCCATCCTGGGGGACGGCTGCATCCCTCAGGCAGCTGCGGTGGGAGGCCGCTGCAGCGGGGAGGCTGCGCTGGGGAGGTCGGTTCCCCGGGAGGCCATGAGCCTCGCCAGCTGTTCAGGGGCAGTAAAAGCCCATTAAATCCCTTCTCCTTTTGGCTGAAGCAGCGCTGAACCTGCGGTTCCCAGCTGAAGCTCGTGCCTGGGGTATGGGTGATGTCTTGGTGCCCCACACCTTGCAGGAGGGACGTCGTGGGATGGAGACCATATCCCAGCCTTGGCAAGCTGCCTGTACTTCGGCTGAGCTCAGAAATAAGAAAGAAAAGGTTATTTTGCTCTGCTGATGCCCCTGAGCTGAGGGGTTTCGTACCTGAGAGCAGAGCTTTCATTGTGGTGTGGATTGGGACAGTGACGACCCATGGTGTGTCCTCTTCATGCCACCAACAAACTGCCAGCCTGGGCTGACCTCTTCATGGGTCTGATGTTTCATTCCTGGGTTTTTTGCCTGTGGGATCCCCTGTGCTTGGCTGGGGCGGGGGAAGAGTCCTGGGAAAGGGACAATTCCCAGAGCAGCCAACCCCCCCCCTTATTTTTAGCCTAATAAAGCACAAGTTTGCCAAAAAAAGCTTCTAACAGCAGCGGATCCGCTTCAAATTGGATTTTTCTTTCCTTGGCTGGAAACCCCTGGTCAGGAAGGTGACAAGTGGCAGAGAGACTCGGTTTGGAGAGACACCCACGGCTCATCCATCTGCTGAAGATGGATCGTGGATGCAGCTCGTGCCCCTCTGCACTGCCTCAAACCCCCGTGAGTTTGGAAAGATGCTTTGGGAAGGCGATGGGAAAAGGCTCTTTCCTTTTGTCCCTACTCTAGAGGCTGGAAACCCCTGGTCAGGAAGGTGACAAGTGGCAGAGAGACTCGGTTTGGAGAGACACCCACGGCTCATCCATCTGCTGAAGATGGATCGTGGATGCAGCTCGTGCCCCTCTGCACTGCCTCAAACCCCCGTGAGTTTGGAAAGATGCTTTGGGAAGGCGATGGGAAAAGGCTCTTTCCTTTTGTCCCTACTCTAGAGCAGGCGGGAACAAATACCTTCTAAATTTGTTCCTTTTAGGGAAAAAAAAGTTTTATAATTGAAATTTAAAAAATAGGAGGCTTTCCCTCCTTTGCTCCCCCTGGCAGCTCCCCTGGAAGAGCTGCCTGACATTCCTGTGATTGCCTGCGGCATCCCGGGACTGCGCTGGGCCAGGGCTCCTCTTGCTGGGGCTTCACCAGGGTTTATTCCCAGCGTTGGGAATTCCCAAGCCCTTCCCTGGTGGCAGTTCGCTCAAAGCTCCTACTCCACGAAACGTGTTGGTTTTAACAAATTACCTCTTTATAAAGGAGATGGTTTATAACATAAAACCCACCCCCAGAACTTGCTGTGTCTTCTGGGTGATCTCCACGGGTTTCTCCTGTGTCTCCAGCTGCAGCCGCGCTGGGCTCCTGCCGCAGCAGAGCAGGAGACGCCTGTCCCATCCCGTCCCATCCTGGTCCTCATCCTGGCTGGGTGACAGGCAGAGGGAGCGCCTCTTCTTTTCCTCCCTTTACATTTCTGCTAGCATAAAATAAAACAGCCCCTTGGCTCCTTTTCAGCCTGCTGGAGCCTCACCTAATGCACTTCAAGCTGTGGTTCCCGCTGCAAAATCAAGGCTTTGGTACCTGGATCTCGATGCCCCCAGTATTCAGCCCTCTCACACAGACGTGGTGCTGGCCCGTGGCTTGGGGCCTGGGTGGGAGCCCCAGGCCGAGCCAGGACCAGGGGCCACAGGAGCAACTCTCCGAACTCGTCCCAGACACGCTGCCGTGGCCTCAAGCCCTTTCGACTTTTGTTCGCCAGCCACCTCTCCGTCACCATGCAGGGAGTTATCATCATCAGCCACCAGCCGCACCACCCCACGGCGAGAGGCTTTCCCTCCAGCTCCGGAGCACTGGGAAGGGGATTTGGGCACTGAGGACACTGCCTTTCCCAGCAAAGCTAAACAATTACAGCAGTAACACCACAAGCAGCTGTGCGGCGCAGCCACCCCCTCGGCCGAGGGACGTGCTGGGGCGTCCCATGCACCCCCAGGCGGGATTCAGCCCAGCGCAGGGGAATTCACCTCACCTCCTTTCCAGTCTGCTGCTTAAACTGCAATGGAAGGAGTTTGCCTTCGTCCCCAAAGTGCTATTAATAATTACTTTTATGGTGCTTTTCTGGAATTCCTTGCTATCCCACCGCGACAGAATAATTATTTACAATAATCCTAAATGACTCTTAATTACAGCGGCGCAGGTGCTCGGTGGCAGCTGGCATGAAGTACTCGACATATGGAGGTTCTCGCGTCAGGTGAGGGATTCGCCGAGCGGCACCGTCGGAGCTGAGCGGGAGGTGGGACCAGCTCCAAAAGCCAGCGGGGAAGGGTACAGTTCGGCCACATTTAGGAAAGAGGTTTTAGGGGATGCCGGACTCCAGGAGCGGGATGGAGACCTTTGGGCTGGGCTGCGGGCAGTGGGACCTGCTGGCTGGACACGATGTGCTGGAGCGGGGCTCGGCATCCCGGCTACACCCCACCCTGCGGCACAAAGTCAGGCCACGCTTCCAGTTTATACAGTTTAATACATGTGAAACAAGATACATTTCCTTTTGAGTAATGAATGCATAAATAACAGAAGATATATGTGAATGCATAAATATGAGGCGGCATGGAATGAACCAAACAAAAAAGGTTTAATTTTTTTTCCCCTGTATGTCTTTTCGCTGCTGCTGCCCGGCGCTCGGGCTGATGGCGCATCCTCGTGACGGACTCGTTGCTGTTCTTATTTATCATCCGCTTTCCATGGCGAAGCTGTCCCACGGTGAGAGGGCCTGGATGAGGGGCGGGGAGGGGGTAGGGACCGGAGGCTAAAAAAGAAAAATCAACCCCAAAACTGCAAAAAAAAAGAGAAGTGGTGTTAATGGGTGACCTGAATTCCTCTAGAGGCTTCTCAGTCGGAGCCGGCGACGGAAGTGCCTTGGGAGGCGAACGCGTCCACGTGTGGGTGCAGGGGGTGTGGAGGGAAGACTGACAGAAAGAGTGCAAACGGGACGGTTACGGCTACCACCGAGGTTTCGAAGGCATTCTGCTATGAGGAGGACAAATCATTAGCTTAAATGCTCACAAAAGAACATCACCTAAGACAGCTCTTTATACCTTTACATACTGTATCAATAATTTACTTTGAACTGCAGTAAACAAAATACATTTCTTAAATAATTTACTATTTATTTGTTTCGGTTTTTTTTAATCTCTCTGTAAATTTAACTTTTTCGTTTTTTTATCTTTTTTTTTCTGTGTAACACAAGAAACCGTGTTTGTGCATGTTAGTTCAGATTATTGCGACATTTAACCTGAATTTCAGCTAAAAAAAGAAAAAAAAAAGCAACAGGACAGTTGTACAGACTAGAAGAATGAATAACTTATTATTGCACTGGCTACAATTCAGTAGTGATTTGGTTTTTTTTTTCTGTAGTTAGGACAACCTCTAAAGTACAAAAGAAAAATGAGAGAGATGTCTAAAGCATCAGCTGTGAAAAGAAGCTGGTGGGATGATGGTGGAGGGAAGGAGAGGAAAATAATGGAAGTGAAGAAAGAAGAGAAACATTTGGAAAACAAATGGCCGTAATAATTAGTTCCACATAAAACCCAAGGAAACACCACCCAGTTGCGGAGTCACATGTAATGCAAAAACCAGTATCATTTCTCTATAAAAATATGTGCATTATGAAGAGAGAGTTTTTGTGGGTATATTTTTTTTGTCTTTTTTCCTTGTTTTGTATCTCACAAATACATTATTTCTATTTATATAACTGCTGATATACAGACAATGTACAGCTCCCAGCTCCGGGGCACTCCCGCGTAATGTGACATCTCTAAAAGGTGCCTTGTTAAAAGTTGAGCATCTTTAAAAAACCAAAACCAACAAAACCCGAAGAGAATCCCCCAAATCCCAACCGCCACCACCTCGAGCCCGAATCAATGTGATTGAGGCCACGGAGTGGGGCGGGAGGAACGAAGCAACCCCCTGAATCGACTCCACCTTCCCTTTAGAAAAGAAACCCCCAAACCGCTTTGCAAATCCGCTCCCCCCACCCCGACACCCGTCACCGTTTCATCCAGCCGTTTGTTTGGTTTCTTTTTCTTTTTAATTTTTTTTTTCTATTTGGTTTTTTTTTTTGTGTGTGTTTTTTTTTTTGCAAACCTCCACAGCGCTTAAGAACAAGTGACTGCGAGAAAGGAAAAAACCGAGAGAGCAGCCACCCACGTACCTGTGGCCGCTCAGTCCCTTCGGTTTGGAAACCCACATTGGTGTCAAGCCCTTGAGACCCCCCCCGCTCCCCCCTCCCAGAAAGCTATACTGGGTCATCTATGTCTTCTTCTGTCGAAACAGTCACCGGGACCAAGTCCTGCTTCCGGAGGGGGCTCTTAGCAATGCCCAGGAGCTCTCTGCTTTTCTCGGCGTTGCTCCACTGAGTTTTTAAGTGATCCGGCTTTTTCAGTTCAGAGGTGGCGGGGTCCGGCCGGGAGTCCACGGAGGCCGGCGTGGACTGACCGCTGTCCAGGAGGAGATCCGAGAGGCTGCTCAAGGAGCTGCCATCCGACTGCTCGAAGGAGAAGTTGGGGATGGTCAGGTGCTCCCCACGGCACAGGGGCTGGCCCCGGCGTTCCGCTTTGGAGGCCAGCTCCCCGGGCTGGCTCTCCACGAGCTCCAGGGACTCTCTGTAAGCCGGGAACTCGCAGGATGGGGTCCTTCGCCGCAGCATGCTGTTCTCAGAGGGTTTGGTGCGTGAGGCCGCCCCGCTGTCGTCCTCCATGGGAGGATCTATAGAAATGCAGGGCGGGCTCATCTTCTTCTTCCTCCGGGCTCCGTGGATATACTCGGACTCCATCTGGATATGGGCAGGGGACCGCTGCTTTTCCTCAGCAAGGTCCTCAAAGCTACAGTCCCCATCGCTGATGGAGGGGCAGATCTCGATGGAGTGCCGCCTTTGGTCGTCTGCCCAGCTGGGCTTGTTGAGGAAGCCCTTCGTATCGATGCTGTAAAACTTCTTCAAGTCCTTCTCCTTGCTGCTGCCCCTGGAGAGGCTGGTTGTGCTGCAGTTCTTGAGGGGCACTGGAGACGGGGCTGGGGAAATGAACGGCGAAGTCGAGCGGCTCCCAGCGTCCGAGTGCTCCCCTCCCCAGTCTTTGGCCGAGCTGTTGATGTGGCGAACCTCCTCGTCAGCCAGATCAGAGGACTCGAAGAGGCAGCCCTCAGGGTTGGGAGGGCTGCTGCCGGGGCTGGGGGGACAGCTGGGGACGCTGTGCTGGCCGCAGGTGTGCTTCCGTGTGAGTGTGCTGGGGTGCTGATGTGGGGAGGACGGGGAGGAGCACGGAGGGGTGCCCGGGAGGGAGGCAGCCGTGGGATGGAGCGGGCTGGGGGTGAGGGTGCTCTGGGGCTGCTTTGCTGATGGTAGCATCTCTCCAGGCTCTGCTTGCAGGCTGTCCTTGCGGTCCAGAGTCTGCCCATCCACGGAATCTGTTCGAATGGCCTCCTGGATGGTGAAAAGAAAGAGATGGGGCGAGAGCCTGGGCGTCTGCTGGGCTGGTGGCACTTCCAGTGATGAAACATGGCATGTGGCAGAACGGTTGGTGGGTCTAACGCACCCTGCACCACGCCATCCCTGCCCCGTTGTGCCAGCCCCCGTCAGACCCTCGCTGTACAAGAGGATGCGGTTTTGCTAGCAAGCAGACCTGGAGCCTACATGTACAGGGCTTGTATCTGCTAGGTCTTTCTGCTCAGACTTGGTCTTGCTCTAGCACCAAATCCTGAGTCAGTGCAACCTGTCTAAAGTGACACAGTGTAGGGCTGACTGCAGGCTTCTCACAGCACTGGTGAAACTGAACTGGGCATCTTCTCTCTATGCTTTAGCTATTCTTTCATAGAATAGTACGTCCACAAAGATGAAAGTAGGTAAAAAGGGCCTTCCCCTGTGTGTCACTTGCTGCGACTGGAGTATATTAAAATTTATGGCACCAGAAACATTTTGTTCTAAAAAGGGGAATTCTACTCTCAGCTCCAAGAAACGAAACCCAAGAGGGGACTGGAAAAGAAGAGGAGCATCCAGGTGACTACGAAGGAGTTTACCTCTGCAGGCTCTTGGCCTCTCACCTGTCTGCACAGCAGCTTGTTGAGAGTAGGAGATCGAGCTGTGATGTGGGGGGGAAGGATCTTCCAGCGGTGGCGGCCTTCGCGATTGGGAGAACGGACTGCCAGCTGGAGCGACTCCGTTGGGACTCTCAGGGAGGAACATGTTCCCACGGGCTGGGAGCAGACGGAGGTGATGGACCCTAGGAAACAGACAGTGAGCAGTCACCACCACTGCTGGCATGGGGGCTGCAAAGGTTTGAGGCAGAACTGGTGCCCACAGACTCCAGGAGGGGAGCAAACATGGGAGGGGAAAGGAAAGGCCTGTCTAGTCTGGCTGAAATCCCAAGCCTCAGCGTAAGCCTTGGGCAGTGCCAGGATTAAACACCAAATGTCCCTTGTACTGTCTCCTGCTGTGAATACTAAGCCATGTCTCATCAGGGATGGCAGGGAGCTTACAGATGAAGTCTCCTCTGCAATTCAGCAACATTGTATGTGGCTCTGCCTGTTCCAGGATATCACCTGTTACAAACTTTATGCTCATAGCCTCTTATTTTCTATTTCAGGCACTAGGAGTCTTCTCTTGCAGCTGCTGCGACACTCAGGATGGATGGCGGCCACCAGGACCACATGGCAGCAAATGAAGGGCAGGAGGTGGGGTTGCATTTGAAACCTTGCCATTGCTGCCTTCCTGGTAGCATTGCTTTGGGTGGATTTGTAAAAGGATGTTGCCTGTTTAGAGAACATGGATCGGGGAAGTCTGGTGGCTGTGCCAGCTCCTCTGAGGCAGGATGCCTGGGTTGTCTTTGCAGTGCTGCCAAGGATGGGCTTGCAACCTTGCACTGCTCTGCCACATGGAGGCAAGAGCAGCGCTGCTCAGCTTCCTCGGAGCCACCAGAGCTTGACTTACAGGTCCGACCTACAGCCTCATACAGCCAGCGGGCACCCTGCCACTGACTTCTCTGGGAGGAGACACTGCTGGCATGCACAGGGCAGTTCTCCTATTCACTACAGCCCAAACACCACCACCACCGTCTGTCCACGAGGCAGACCTTGGCTGAACATGGTCAGACCAGCGGCACGGAGATAGCTTCATGTGCTTTGACAGTTCCTAGCTCATGTATCAGGCAGGAATCACTCTCTTCCTGAGAGCTCCCAGTCCCCTGGGTGAGGCTAAAGGCAATCCCTCCTCCCCAACCCCTTCGTGGTGCTGCTTTACTGCAGTTCTGCATTGTTTGAAAGATCTTTTGCTTTTTTTATTTTTTTGGCTGCAGGATTTATTGTCCTCATTAGCTTGAAACCCAACGTCTGTTTCTACATTGCTGCTCCATGTTAAAAACACAGCTATCCATCACTTCAAGAGATCTTGCCCAGAGGTCAGGGAACTTGAACCTATGACAAAAGCCATCCAGACAGATTGCAGTTGCATTTCAGAAAGAGATTTGTTGCTGGGAAGAAAGAAAAGTTAGTGTTGAATCATTATTCTTTTGGAGCTTTTCTCCAGAACACCACAGAAAGAGCAGACCAGCGAGCTTCCCACCCCCCAACCCACTCCACTTCTCCCTATTTCTTTTTTGGGCTCTCCTACAGCCAGTGTTTCAGTGTGAGTCTGGACCATTCATGTGCTAATCCAGGCTTTACGAAACATTTTTTATGGTGCAGAAAAACTTTGTCATAAAATGTCACAAACATGGTCATAAAATCAAACCCCTGTGCTCTCCTCCCCGTCCTTAGTTGGAATTTCCTTCTGTTGGAAACTTTCCATCTAGCTCTCATATAGGAAACCAAAACCCCTTCTAAACTGCATACTCAGGAACACTGAATATCTCTGGATTTATGCATTTTTCTCTTGTTTTTCTAGGAAATCAGAGAACTGCATCTAAGACCAAAATAACACAACACCTGGTCATCTCACAATATCCATCGCTCAAGTACTCTTGGAGAGAAATTTGGGAAACATGAGAAAATTCTTGGTCAGCTCTACCCACCCCTGCCAACGCCACCACAGTTTTATACTGGTATAAATCCTGATTTACACCCACTACAGAGATGAAAACCATCCCCAGTAGTCCAGCCATGAAACTCAACCTCTGTTTTCTTTGCTTAGCAAAGAATTTGCAGGTGAAATAATAATAAATACTGAGCAGAGGACATTAACTGGTATCCAGAGAGTTTGAACAAATATAGAGTTACTTCACCCAAGTAAATCAGAGCAGATCTTGCCAGCCCCACCAGGGTTTGCAAACCCACTACTCATCTGTCCAAGCAGTTCTTGCATTTCAAACAACATTGCATCAAAGGAAACCAGGCTGGTAAGTTCTTGGGAGCCACTCAAGAAGCACATGTGCTTTTAGGGAGGCAGATATTTTCTTTCTTATTGATTTCCCCTTCAAACCAACTCGCACAACAAAAGAGAGAGATAGAAAGGCATTTTAGGGGAAACGTATTTGGATGCAGTTGGGTAAATGTATACTCAAAGGCTCTGTGTAGCTCGTGATTCCCTGACTGCAGGGTCTCTCCACAAAATTCATTATAAGGCCAGGCTGGGGAGGCACCGGGGAGTGGTTTCTAATCTTCATGCTCCCAAAGAAACTCCTGCATCTCTGAACTCAGTGTACCATGCTAAAAAGATACTGCTCTGAGACGGAAGACTGCCTGAAACAATAGCTGTAAAGGAGTTCTGTCACGAAGTAATACCACTCCAGCTTTTATTCATGTTGACTTTATTGATTCGTGGTCATGATGTCAGGGCTGATCACTTCAGAAAAAATGTGCAGCTCGTACCCTTTTCCTCAGCTAACAGCCTTTCCACTACGCCTCTGACATTGCTTGGGAGCCCCACTTCTCCCCAGTCAAACACTCAAGATGCCAGCTTTCTCCTGAGAAAATGCAGTGTCGTGATGAAAACACAAAATTGTGCAGCATGTGGGAAACTGAAGTCCTGCTGACGGTATCAAATCAAAGCGAGCGAGCCCTGGCTCAGCCCACATTCGGCGCGGGTTGCTTATTCCCCTGTCTAATCACCACGCGTACCTGCTGCCCCATGGTTTCGGCTAGGAGCAGGAAGGGAAAACTCCGCGAGCAGTACCTCTTTGGGATTTGCAGGGATACGTTTCCATCTCCACTTCATGGAGGGGGAAAGGGGCTTTCGCTGGCATCACCGGCCGGAACATGTAGCTGTCGTTCGGCAAGGAGTGCATACGGGAAACAGAGATCTTGCGGACCGTCAGCAGGTTTTGAGAGTCCTGTGGCCTCAGAGAGGCTGCAACACCCTGCAAAGCAAGGAGACAGGGAGACGGAGTCATTCAGCACCTTGGTGGTGAATTTACAGCAATATCTCCTTCTCGTCTGCTTTTTGTTTTAAAACCTTGTGCAGATGTTCCTCTTGGCATCTTGCAGGGAGTCTGCAGCCCTGGTGATTGCAATGGGATACCAAAGCTACGCCGTGCTAGCTGAGTGAAGAGCTCAAGTTACGGCTGGAGTAAAATGAGGCGTCAAGGACCCACCACTAAGCCGAGTCCTGGACACCACAGAGAAAAAGTAAGGTCCAGGAAAATGGGGCCCACCCTCTAAACACACGAGAAAGCCAGCATTTCTCACACTGTTCTGCTCTAATTTTCCCAGGGATGCTTTCAGCCTGGCCTGGGTGGTGATGCCCTTCTCCTCAAAGCTACTCTGGGACAGATGGGCAAAATTGGCCAGTCCTCGGCCATGCTGACTGCAGGTACCAAGTATTTCTGGAAATTCATGTATTATCTCCCCAAAAGACACATACAGGCAGACATTTAAACACACATGTTAACACCACTGCGAACCCTGCAGCCTCTCTCCTCTCATGGAGCATTTTGGGCACCAACTGACCCCAGAAGAAGACAGCCACATGGCAGGAGGCAGAGGGAAGGAGGAGACATCATGGCAGCACGTATGTGTGTGTGGAGCCTGTTCGGGGGTAGAAAAGGGACTTCTGTGTGTTTGCTCTCACTGTGAAATGGATCTGGTTGGAAGTGCCCGGACAGAGCACGTCACCAACCTTAAACTTGACCCCTCACCTCTTCTCTGAGGCTCTTGTCACTTCAGGCACTTTATAGCAAGTTTATCCTGGGGTCTTAGGAAGCTTTAGGGACTCAAACAACGTCTCTGCAGTGCTGATGGAGCAGCTGTGAGAGGTGGTGCCATGACTTGGCCAAGTGCTGGGGGAGTGGGAGCCCTTGGAACAGGACCTGCAACCTGGCTCCCAGCCCTGAGGTTTTGGTCCTAGACACATTCCCCTCACAATTTACCACGTTATCTAAAGTACGACTAATCGCTCTGGTTTTCCTTTAATGTCAGCCTCCCAGTGACTGATTGAAAACATTTTCCCAGCTGCATGTCTTAAATTAAATGTATTTTGCTTTGCTCAGCCGGGCTGTTTTCCCTCTCTGCTAGCAAAATCTGGGCCTGAGATCCCTCGCTGGATAGTTTGGAAGTCACCAAGGATCTGGTTAAATCTGTTTTTTTCGATACATTTCCTGCTTACAAATTTATTTCCTCAGATCCCTGAAGAGACACATCCCGAGACAAATTACTCGATGCTTTTACCCTGTTGAGCTTGGCTGAGAAGATGGGGGGATCAGCAACAGTTATTTACAGGTAGCTGGCATCCAGCACTGACTGCTGCCTTGCCCAGCAGCCCTCCGGGTGCAACCCAGGTCTCTCATCTGATATATTAATGCATCAGCAGTGTGGCTGTGCCAGTTGGCCTCTGGCCATTACAGCTAATAAGCTACCAGCATCGCAACACCTGAGCTGAACGCAGGCGGGCGGTTGTTAACACCCTGGTGCGACACAGAGAACAAAAGGTCTCGCTCCACTTTCTCAGTAATCTAACAGAAGGACCACAGTATTTGTCTATTAAATCTCAGTTCATCTTTACAGGATCTTGTATTTGTCTTCTCTGGCTGGGACAAATGAACAGAAATCCCCTTTTGACATAAACAACTGCAATTTTTAAGGTTTCGGCTACTGAGACCCAATTGACTTAGGGACGTGGGCACATTTCAAATGACTTCAAAGCCACTGAAATAAGTAAGTACCTGAAATACGAAACATGGACAGGAACCTTGTTGGCTCACACCTGGTGAGCCGCTCTCGACAGCTAGGAAGGTTTGGAGACAACACCACCACGGGCGCTGCTGCTCCCCCTCTTTGGTGGGAAACGCCTGATGCACTCGGGAGCCTGATCCCATGCTCTGGAAATCAATGTGGCTCCTTCAAAACCCATCAAAGCCCAACCTGGACCAGTGCTGCTGAGACTGCCTATGGTGAACCCTGCCTGCAGGCACCCTGATTGCTTAGGAGGATCCCAGGCATCTGATAGAGGTGTGCAAGGTGGGAGCCAGCTCGCTGTGGGACCCCTCTCAGGCCAAATACAAAGGCATTAAATTGACCATAGATGCTCAAGGTGCTGAAGCTCAGAGGCTCAGTTAAGCATCTTTAATCAGTGAGCACAACTCCTTCCTCTTGTGTCTGGGAATCAATAGTCTGTTGGAGCTCTGATTTTGCTCTGCTGCAGAGGGAGCTAAAGAAGAAATAACCCTGCAAATACCTTCACAGGACATGACCCTTCCTGGGTGATTAAACGGCCAGAAGATACTCTGTAAGCAAAGGTGACTGGCAGGATACTCTGGAAGAGGGAACACTGTAACTTCTCAGAGGTCTGGAGCCAAGAGCCTGCAAACAAGCTGTGGGCAAAATTCCCAGAGGAAGGGCTCCTTCTGATCCCTCTCTGAAGGCGTGCATCTCCAGCACTGCAAGCGAGCTTAGCCATTCCCTGCAGCCTCTGTGGTGGGGAAGGCAGAGGCACAACAAGGGCAGGAGGTAACTCCCTGCCTGTGCCTGCCAATGCTGGCATCCCTGCATAGCCAACTCCGGTGGCATCCAGTGTTGCGCTGTCATTCCCTGTGGAGGTAATGAACTCTCAGCTCTGCCAGCAGAAACCCAGGACCCCTTACAGTTGCATTTACAAAGTCCCAAATTTTGCCTATGCCTGAAAGATGCCGGGAACTGCGATCTCCCTTTGAGCCTCTGCAGCTTCCAGGTGGCCAAGGTAATGGACACCCTGCAGAGCTATGGACACAAACTTCCTTGAGGATTATCCCTTCATATCACTCATCTTGCACAGGGGAAACCACTTGGTCATCAAGAGCTTAATCTGAGCCCAGAATTTGCTTGGACATGCTGTGAAATACTTGCCACTAGAAGGTGGCTTGATCATCATGATAGAAGTCAGGTAATAAAGGGCAAAACGGCCCAAGTCTAAAGCAAATTAATTCTGGGTGGCCACTGGAAGTTCTCTGATGACAGCAAGTGTGCTCCCTACTGTAGCATGTGCATCTTCATCACTGACTGTGGCTCGCACGTTCTTGTGCCCACTGGAGGAGATCTGGAGCTCATTCACCCCGAGGAGGGCACTGTACCACAGCAGGGCAAACCGTGCAATACCTTTACGTGATGTGACCTGGGCACCGGTTCATGGTGCAATCGGGAGGGACTGAGCAGAGGGGGCTACAGCCCTTCTGGTCTGCTGGGTGATCTCCCCACAGCATCTCCTGAATCCACAGTTCCAGTGCTTGCTGAAAGCCTAATGTGTTGATCTACTTATGCTTTTGTTTCCTCAATACTGTATCATAAACAGCTTCTTATAGTAACAGTAAGAAAACCAAATTGGGCTGTGCTTTTTCCACAGGGGTCTCTGCCTGCCTCCAGCTCTCGATATATCATTTGAAGACAGACTGCTCACACATCACATTGCACATCAAATGCAAGACTTTTTTTAGCTAAAAAGAGTATTTAATTTGTGTCCCACACAAGGCTGCTGGCAGAGTCGGCTGGGACATGTTCTTTGCCCAGCTCCTGCACACGCAAAGGCAGTACGAAGGACAGAGGATGGGAACGACTGTTGTGGCTGTGAAGCGACAGGTTTAGGACAATTCAGACACCACCGCTAGCTGCACAGCACCAAAGCACAATGCCACAACGCAGAAGCAACGGTGCGACGTCATTCACCTCAGCCTCGTGGCCTGGGGTTTTGTGGGAAGGTGTCAGGACATGGTGGGAAACAGAGCAGAAGGACGGGATTTCCATCACGGGAGCCTCTGCCCCCTCCAGCGTGTCTGAGTCTGGGATGGCTAAAGACACATTCTCACAGCTCAGCGCCTCCTTCAAATTGGGGAGATAAAAAGCATCAGTAGCAGAGCAAGGCTGCGTCTTAACACTCGAACATGTTGGCCCTGTGGCATTTCCGAGTTGCCCCATTCATCCAGAGCAGGAAGGAAGAGAAAAGGAAATGTAGGCTGCAAAAACTGGCACAAATGGCAAGAAAATACAGAGAATCTTGCAACACCTTCCAGGGTGCCCATGCCACCATCAGTGGCAGGATTAGTCATAGAGAGCTCTATGTATTTAACCTCTTCAGTGCAGCTAGCAGGGAGTGCAGCACCGAGCTGCCAGCCATCCATGCCTGCCCAGAACAGCCTGGGTGTCTGGGATGTTGAGCCATCGCCACAACCCAGCCCCACCGCGGTGCCTCTGCCTCACTCCCGCACAGGGGAGGGGGAGCCCTGGATTGCAAATCCTCACCTGCGTTCGAGCAATTGCAGCTGCAGGGGGAAATCTGTGGCCAGCTACCTGCTCACACTGTTCTCCCTCTAGGGAGCGTCACCTCTCGCTATGGGTTTTCTAGGGCTAAGAGGAGGCTCTACATGGCTCCTGATGTGCTCGGGAGGTATTGGAAGATGAGGAAAATCCAAGGAGAATGAACTCCATTTGCAATCACAGCCTATGTGAAAGGATGTGCCCTTTCTTCCCCTGGTGAGAAAAGCAACCTGAGTGTTTATGGTGCATATTCTTGCAGAAATGTCTATTAGAAACTACATTCAAATAGCTAATTCCCCATCGCTGTGTAACTAAATACCTTTTTGCTTGACTTAATAGAGTCTGATAGATTTTACAAAAATCTAATTTAATGTAATTTAATCTCAAATCCCCAATTGATTTTGTGGTAGATTTATTTGTGATCACGGTGACAAAGCAATTTCATATTCACTCTTAATCATGTGCTGCTGACACGGGATGAGACAATTATCTCATGCCCCTCCTTTCCCCCTGACTTCCGATTGCCCTATTTTTCTACAGGACTAATAGAAATCAGAGAGCAGGCAGTGTCTGCAAAATCAGCCCAGGAACCTCCAGCTTCTTGCTGAGGGGCTCTGACAATTCCCAGGGTCCAAGTCAGCCATTCCCTAAGCAGAGCATGAGCCAGTAGGAAGCTGCATCTTACACGAGTGCCAGACATGCCCTCCTGAGCTGCGCACCATGATTTGCTTGAGGCTCCTCTGGAAATCCCAAACTGGGATTAAAAAGAACCTTAGCAGTATTTCTGTTTTCTGTGTGAAGGGAATTCATGCCATCCTTTGCTGCCTGTGTCAGGGCTGACAGTACCAGCATTCCCAGGGCTTTATGAGATTGCTCCCTGGTGCTGCTGCCCATGCTAAAATGACAAGGACCGATTCATTGGCTGGGAGAACAGGACAAGGCCCTGTGGCTATTATGCTTCTGAACTTAAAATTCACAACCTTTGAATGAACTGGAAATGGCAAGAGATGGACTTTCAACCCTCCCCCAGAACAATGGTCAGGACAGCGTTAACCCTGGAGAAACGTTTCAAGCAGCCTTCCACCTCAGGGAGCCTCCTGAGATGACTCAAGATGTGGAGGTGGCGGTGACATCTCTGCCATAGGGGGACCTGGGAAAGCTGCCTTCCTCCTGCTTCTTTGGCACTGTATCACTTGGGATCTGACTGCCTGATGATCAGACAGCAGTGACTGCTGAGAACTGTCCCCTCCCTACCCTGAGCACAAGAAGAGCAGACACTTTGTGTGAACTATTACCAGGGCTTGGTGCTTCACCTGCACCGCTGACTCTGACTTCATGGTCTCCTGACTTCTGTAGGGTTCCCTGCTCTCCGGGGCCACTGCACCTCCCCTGCTCCCACTGGTGGCTGAGGTGGTTGCTCCTCTGGACATCTCCAACTCGATCTCAGCATCCATCTCAGCATCCTCCTTGGCCTCCTTGTTGCTCTCCTCCAAGTGCTTCATCAGCACTGCCACCACTACATTGACTAGGACGAACTGTGCAATGAGGACGAAGGTGACGAAGTAGACAGGGGAGATAACAGGCAGGTAACTGAGGCAGTGCTTGTCTTCCCGAGTGCATTCCCGGAGAGTGTCCTGCACAGAGAGGGAGAGGTGAGGGATTCATAAGGGCTGGGGCTCTGCTTAGGCTCCAAATACAGAAACATCAAAGATAAACTGCTGAGGACTGAAAAGCATACAATTACATATCCTAGGCACAATAGCTTGTAGGAACAACTAAAATGGATAGAAGAAAATACAGACACCATCAATTACATCATCTACAAAGAGGAGGATTGTGTTATGTCCCAAAGGCACAGGGCACAGAGTACAAGGTTACTCCTCTCAGCAACAAGAACTGGCATGATTTTCCTGAAGAATTATATATATGTTAAAAAGAATGAAGTGTCAGCTTGGGCAAGACTTAGGACAAATTATCCCTTGAAAACCCACTTGGCCTTTAAATGGGCAAGTTTAATTTTGATATTTTAAAAGGAAAGGAAACCTTTTTTTTTCACACAAGAGTTACTTAAATTTGTTTCAAATCTGTGTCTATATATCTGCAGAGAGAAGAAAGTACCCAGACAGAGATTGCACACACCTTCATGATACCATTCCAGTTGTCCCCCGTTGACACCCTAAAGAGGGTGAGAAAGGCCATGCCGAAGTTGGTGAAAGTTGCGTGCCGGCTCAGACCTTCACAAGGATTTTCTTCACTGCAGTCTGCAGGAGAGAGAAGCAGAAGCACATCAACGAAGCCATGTTTGCCAGAGCCAGCAACCTCCCAAACCTGGCAGTGAGACCCTGAGATATGTCACACTGCTACATGGCACCAGGGAGGACTGCTAAGTGGTGATCTTGTGGTGGCCTGCAACTACTGAAGGGCAGCTTGTAATCATGTAGCCAAACTCTTCTTAGCGGAGGCAGATGACATAATGGACAGCAACACACTGTGGCTTAGGAGGTCCAGGCTGGACATTAGGAAAGTTGTTTTCATCTGGAGGGCCCAACAGCCCTGGGCACCAGAGAAGCAGGGGAGCTCTGTCGTTGGAAGTTTTCAAGATTTGACTGGACAAAGCTACAGCTACTCTGAGCTACTGACGGGACTTCAAGTAGAAGGCTGGGTGGCGGCCTCCAGAGGCCTCTTCCACCAACATTTCTGTGATTCTCTTGACTTTACCCCAACAGGCAGAGCCAACACAAAGAGATCTAAAAGGAAGTGGAAACAAGCAGACTTGCTGGGGTGTCTCAACAAATACTGCTCTATAGTATCCTTTGTCTGTTATCCTCTTGATTATGTCCTTGTCTTGATTATTTTTTACAGGGCACATCTACCATGAGGGATATTTCATTGAGATAAAAGTGGAGCAATTTGATATGTTTTCCCACAAGAATTAATATACTAATGAATGTAAATTGAACATATGACATATCATAGAATCACAGAATCGTTCAGGTTGGAAAGCACCTTTAAGATCACCAAGTCCAACCGTTAACCTAGCACTGCGAAGTCCACCGCTAAACCACGTCCCTAAGCACCACATCTAGACGTCTTTTTAAATATCTCCAGGGATGAAGACTCAACTCATGTCCTCATGGACTCATGTCCCTCTTTCCATAAACCACAGGGTCATTAAATATCCATTAGGACAAGCAGCAATGCCTCTTGCAAGAGCATTTCACTGTTAGGTATTTATTTCAGAGGCAAATAGGAAGGAAAACCAGAAAAGCAAATAGAAAAAAAAAAACATAAATGACCAGTCCTGGGGAGGGAGCACTGATGGTTCTTGTGCCTGACATGGATTAGCAGTCATTGGGAAAAAGAAGTGAAAGTATTTCCCAGTTAAATCAGAATGGGAAATGGTGTGCTGACTGCCTGTAGCTTGCCCCAGACAAGATCAGGGCTTTCCCCGTCTCTGGCCACATGTTGTGGTTACCTGGGGGCTGGCATTGGCAAGGTGTGTGCGTGGAAACACAAAAAGGATTCAGAGCAGCAGAAGGTGCCTTGATGAATAAGACATTTTTCACCTTTGTGGCTGAACAAATACATACCTATATATCTAGATATGTAATATAAAAATCACAGTATTTCATTTGGGGTGGATGCAGAACTAATTTTTTTCCAGGATTTGTTGGAGACTTAAAAATAATTTGTCTTTGGTTGAAAGAAATATTCTGCTTTCAGGCATTTGTAATCTGAGCAGAGGGCTGGACTCATAAAAGGGATTAATGACAGCCATAAAATCACTGCGGAGGAAGGGCCCTTCTGATGCTCTTGAAGCCCTAATTGGGATGCAAACACTGAGAAGGCAGACACATCTCTTTCGAACAGCGTGTTTAAAGGCAGTGACTGCTTTGGCCTGGCTCAGCTGGGCAAGGAAGGGCTATAGTGTTTTCTGTCTGACTCCACCTGATTTTCATTTTAGTGGTGGACACATTCATGATCAGCTCTGCAGTATCCTCAAGCCAGAGGAATAAATGATGCTGGACAATCAGGAACCAGTGGATGCTTCCTGATTTATGTAAAAAGGGGAAGGTGATGCTGAGAAGAACAACGGACAGAGAAGACTTGGGCAGCTGGAAGAGCAATGTCAGCCAAGTGCAGAAAACTAAAGGAGTGTGGTGGAAGCTCCGAGGAGGGACATGTTTATGGTGGCATCTCTCCAGCACGAATCTGACTACCATCCAGCTTTACAGACTCATGTTCTGTCTTAAGTAGCAAACTTCCATCTTTGTGAACATAACCATGCTGGACAATTATATTTAAACAGTAAATAGTTCCTCTACAGCCAAGGATGGTGTTGGACAAATCTCTAAATGTGTGTGTGCATGTTAGACAGGTTCTGTATTACATCCCCATGTGTCATCTGCGACCCTGAGATCAAGAGAAAACTTTAATCTTCAGCCTGTGAGCTGTGAAGCTAAGGAAGGCCCAAGAATGAGAAAGAGAAGAAAGGAAACAGCTAGATACCAAATAAACATCAACCGGATGAAATAAATTGTGTCAGGCACATTACTCACCTAGCTTGCCAAACAATTCCACTCCCAGGGCAGCATAGATAAAAAACAGGAGCATAAAAAGTAGGCCAAGGTTCCCTACCTACACAAGGAGAAAGCAGAACAAGGGTCAGGCAAGTTGAGGTCACGAATTAAATTGCTCCATCACATTTTCAACACAAGCAAAAGAGGGACTGGTGGCCAGAGGCTAATCATCATCTCCCCTGGCTTCCAACACCCTGGTCCCCTTTCACGGTTCTGCTTTAACAGTCCCAGAGAAGTCTCCTGTGTTGGGGAAGGAGCAGATGCTCCCACATGCAAAGCAGTCTCTGTGGCTGGTGCCTCTCCATCGCCCTTTCACTTACCCGGAATGCTGCTTTCATCTGTAATTTGGCCAACCCGTAGCTGTAGCCTCAGCAGCACTTAGCCCTGCACTTTAGTGCAGTGGTAGTTGAAGTGACTTGGTGCTCTGGTTTGAGTTTTAAGGGCCTTTCCCTTCAGTTTGCCAGGTTTGAGACTGAGCATGAAGGCTGAGGGTTTCAAGACAGTGACATTAAGACATGTCTCAAGCCACAAGAGGAATTGCCTGGTTTTCAAAGGTTTCACTGGCCTGGGAGGGCTTTCAGAAAAGGAACATATGCTCCAGTAAGATATAAAGCTCTCCTAGCCTTTCCACTTTACAGATATTTCTCAACAACAACTACCTGAATTTTAGCTTTTAGCATCTCAAAAGAAAAGCCTTATTCCATATGCCACCACTTAAATGCAGGCACCTTGCAGTTCAAACACTGTGTGGTGTGCTGCTATTAGGTATTCACATGCACTGCAAGGTGGCTGAAGGGGATGGTAATCGAAGTGCAGTGATGCTAAAGAGAACACAAAGATTCTTAATAATAATGGCAATGCAGTTATCTGCACTGGAGTCAATCACCACGTGAGGTCTAAGCCTTTAAAACATCTCAAAGAGCAGATTTTTTGTGGTTCAGGCAGACAACACGAAGGGCAGAGTAATCTGACCAGCTAACCACCTGCATTTTACCTGCAACTAACTCTGGTCACATTTACCTTTCCCACCACTTTTAAATGCCTTGTGTCCATTGCCTTGTAACAGAGAGTGAACGATCAAGTTCTTCAATTAGACATGGTGCCACAAGCATCATTTTATCTCTAAATAAAAATGAACTAGGGTGGTGATTCAGGTAGTCAGGCCGAGGGATTCATGATCTCCAAGGTTATCTCCCAATGAAGTCTACAGTTTGAGAGCACTTTCTTCTCTGAGACAGCACAGCCACAGAATTGCTGGGTATTTTGACCATGCTGCTTAATTTCATTAGAAAGGTTATCAGTAAGATACCTGTTATCATAAAATTAACACAGCTATCACTTACAAAGTAGGTTTTTTTGCATTAAAGAGATGGGAATAGTCTAATCACCCAGTGGAGACTGTAATTGCTATGAAGCCTAAATTTGCTACTACACATAGAGCTTTGCAATTCCACTAACATTATTACCATACTCCAGGGAATAATAGAGATAATACAGTGTTGTGGATGGCTGGTCTGGATTATTTCATCTGCAGGTACTGTCTTCCAGAATAGTGTTTCCTAACCCATGTCTGCTGGACCACTGGTGGTTTGTAAGACATTAGAAGGCAGTCTGCAAAATGACTGCAAATCAGAGAACACAGGAAAACAGGCACACACACAAATGTACACACACGCTGCCAGGGAGGCAAATGAGCAAATAATTAAAGAGAAGGAAAATAAAAGTGATAAACATGTTTTCTAGGTTGAGTGTAAATTAAAGCCTGATGTTGTAGCACGGCAGAAGAGGGTCTTGGAATTTTTTCAAAGAAGCCTATAAGCTGAATATTTTACTGCTATTTTAATGCCTAATAAATCAGCCTGCAAATTTCTGGCATTGATGAAATTCCAAAGAATTTAGACTAACATCAAAGTTATTACCAGGTTATCAGTCAAAATTATTATCTATCTCTCAACATGCAAAGCATGTTATGAGCTGACATTTGCTCATAAACAATTTGTAAAAGATTCTGTATTTAAGATTGTAACTAATTACATTACTGAACCAACGTGTCTCATAACTAGTCCTTCAAAGAGCAGTTTACACTCACGGGTTTGCTGTATAGGCTCAAGGCATCCCAGCCACAGGCATACTCTAAAAATGCTAACAGAAGCATGTTTGCTAATGTGGTGTTTGCTGGTGTCTAAGGTTGCATTTGCCCTTGGCTGAGAGCAGACAACATGGGCAGTTCCAAAGCTCAGCTGATGCACAGGATCTCTTGGGAAGTGACTGAATGTCTGACTGATGTGGAAACGTGGCTACATGAAAGACAGATGTGGGAGACAGCAGCAAGTCAAAGATCCTGGGATGGGTGATGGCACGACCTTTACATCCCAACCTGTACCTAGACATCCAGAGCTGCTCTGGAGTGTCAGCTAAGAAGCAGGTTGCTCCCCATGTGCACAAGAACAACCTGCTGCCCTGACCACCCCCTGCAGATGTAGCATCCACATGTATATGTGCAGGCAGTTGGTGGCTCGTGAGGTTGGAGAGAGCATGAGTTTCTCAGCAGCCCACAAACATCCGATGCTCTTGAATGTGGCGAAGCAAAATGGCTCACCTCTTGCTTAGGTGCTTCAGCAAAACCGCTTGGTCTATTTGTGTAGCTTCTGGCTGTACTGAATCAGTACAAGTCAGTGCCAGATTAATATTTTGTCAGTGCTAGCCCATGGCTCTCTGGTACATGTCCCTCAGGAAAGGAAAGTCCTCTTCAGCCCATGGCCTTCACCAAGGCCTGAGCATGGAGAAGGACACAAGACATCTTCTCAGAGATGGGCTGAGGTGGAGGCAGTGAGGTCAGCCAGCAGCTGCTGAGTAGCAGAGAAGGCAGACTGGATGTGTGTCTGTGACCTTGAGTGAGTCATTCCTCTCCTGTAACTCAACGTACCCATTTATAATACCCTTGTGGATAGGTAATTAATGTCTGTAAAGCACTTTGAGATCTACTGAGACCAGACAAGAAAAAGATCGTGCATGAATCATGTTGCTGGGAGGAACGGGAGGGGGCAGGAGCACACCCAGGCACTTTTCTCCAGAAGCCAAAGGCTGGGATGCCTGTGCTGGACTCTGCATCAGGGACAAAGATCCAGCTCTGGTCAGCAACCTCAGCTTTGGCAGCCAGTCACCCAGGCAGGCTCTGAGAAGTGGTTCTGCTCTAGCAGCACTGAACAGGTCAGCCCATGCTCTGTTTATCCATCAAACTCCCCCTGACTTGGGCTGGTGCCTTTGGCTGGGCAGAGAAAATTACAGATAACCCCTCTCTCTGGCAGCCAGGGGCTATCCATCATTTGCTGTGGCTCCAGTGTTGAGGGGAGGCTGTGGCCTGTAGGGAGTGAAGCAGAGATGAAGAACATCTTGGAGATGTCCTCGGTGCCCTAAAGTACCTCAGAGAAGCCACAAGAGAAGATGGAGACACTGGTGAGTATCTGTGATTCCTCCTGGACCTTCACTTTCTGGCATCCTGGCTGTCTGGCATCCATATGCTGCTGGCAAAAGTGTCTGTGTGCCTGGGACAGAGGGATGCTGTGGGGAGAGAGGCAGAGTCCTCCATCCCAGCCAGAGGAGCAGCGAGGCCCTGTGTGAGGAGCTACCACCCTTCACCACAGTGCATCCCAGCTGGATCTGTGATCTACCATTGCAAAAACCCTGGAATAACCCTGTTCAGCAGCAAGGAAAGCGACCCTCCTCTCCACACGCCCAGCAAAACCATTCTCCCACTGCTCCTGTGTGGCCTGGGGAGGCTGTCTCTGCTTTAGCTCTTGTGGACATCACTGCTATTAGTTTTTTGACTCCCCCTAAGTGAAACTGCAGTAGCTAAGCACCACTGCATGTCCCATCAGAGTTCAACCTCTGACCTATGCCACGGAGTAAAAAGCCCATACCTGCAGGCACTGGCATGCAAAGCAACTATGGCAGGTTGTGTTAGCCTGATATGCAAATGTGTTGCATGGATCATGTACAACAGGACACCGGCCACCTGCGCACTATCACTTCTCTGTTGCACTGTCAGCTCTGTGATCCTACCCAAATCCCTTTAGATCCTGCTCGCCTCTACTCTCCCTGCTCTGGGAGAGGCATTGATGAAATACGTCGTCTGCTGCCCCGCTCCTGCAATGGCTGGCTGAAGCACACTACAGTTCCTCTTGTGCCTCTTTCTGCTCTGACATCAATTATTTCTGCATCACTGACCCACACCTTGGCATTTCAGTTGTCCATGCAGGCAATGCACACAGCTCCCTGGGATGCCTGTCAAGAGCAATTTCTCATAAAACTAAGCCCCTGCCAATCCTTTCCAAGGACATGAGTCCTCCTCATCTTCCTTCCAGCACTCTCCAGCCAAAGCAATAAGCCTGGCAGCAGGAAAACACAGGTTAATTTATGCACTAGACCCAAGAGAAAATGGACACATTTGTCTGCTTGGAAAACGGAGGCCATCTGTGTGAATTCCAGGACTAGTGGAAAGGGCCAGATAGACAACCTTGGAGGCTAAAGTCAACTCATTGGTGCAACCGCAAGGCCACTAGCTGAACTGAATGATTTCCCCTTTCTGTGTATCCACTCAGCCCCACAGAGACCAGCCAGCAGAATGGACATTTCTTTACCTAATAATTTCTGCTTCACTACTCAAATCTCACAGGCATCTCTGCTCTTCTGCAGCATAGCACACACATAGCTATCTTCCAGAATCTGTCTCATCTGCAATGCTTGCTGGTAAGACATTTCTATTCTTGCTCTCTGAGCTTCACAATCACTGTGGGTTTTCAGCATCTGGCAAAAGCAGGCTATTTTTTATGCCCCATAACTGCTGTTACACAATGCCAGAAAACCTCTTCAAGAGCTGAAGTTGAGATAAGCACAAGAATTACAGCACCACGAAGAGTTAAACTCCTGGACAGGAGCAAACTACAGACTCTGGCCTTCAGGGCACTGATAGAACAAGGAGTTCTTCACTTTTTTCTTGGCACAGAGTCCATCTGGGGGAAGTTCCAAGCTTTGAAGACAAAGAGGAGGTATATCGTACAGTTCTGCACTTAATTAATGTGCTGTCCACAGACCAAGTGAGAAAGAAGAAGGAAAAAGAACCCAGATCTTTTGATAGGAAAGTTCCACATCTTACTATTGTTGGCCCTGCAGAGCCAGGATGGCAATTGGACTGGATTCCACTTTGTCCTCTCCATCAGGAAGAGCAGTAGCTTAGCATTGACTGCAGGTTTTCTTACTGGCAATCGATACTAGAAGTGCTGTGCAGACTCAGCTGGGCTGCTAAGTATGGTGGATACACTTACACAATGAGCATTTTAACCCAGCCAAATCCAAAGTTACAAATCCGAGTGCAAAGTGCAGGCCATGCTACAGAAAGGCTGAATTGTACTTTGGAAAGCAGGGGATGTGAAAAAGACTAAAGGATTACCATCGGAGTCCTATGGAGCAGACATTGCTTACAAAACTGATGCAGCCACCGGATGTATAAGCGAGGGAATATTCAGCTGAAGCTGAAGCTGAAGAGTGGTGTAATTCATTATATAGCCTTAATGGGGTCAGAGCTAATAAAGAAGAGGAAAATGCTTGAAACAGGTCTTGAAAACCTACTTCATACTGAGAGATTAAAGGAGTTCAATGTTCTTCTGTTTGTCAGACTGCAAGAGATTATTTTATCTCTTGTTGCCTCCGAAAAGGAGGGGTTCTAGAAGAAAAAAAGCAAAATTACATCCAATGAGAAAACAAATTTGGCCAACTCAGACTAAAAACACCAGATTTTTTTAGCAGAAAGAGTAAACACCTACTGAAGAACATATTTCATCAGTAGGAGATGGTCGATCCCTAACACTTTGCATCCTTAAAACAAGATCGGGTGGCTTTTGAAAGACATGCTGAAGTCCAGTGCAGAGCTGTGTGGCTTGTGTTATGCTGGGAGCAGGCCTCTGCGATCACAGGGGAGTTTTTGGTCTGTGAATAGCAGCACTGAACTGGCTTAATTAGGACTGCCGATGTCTAAGCGATGAAGTCAGTGCCGGTCACGCTAGCTCAGCTCTTTTTAGCTGTTCAGTTTAAAGCAGTGGATCTATTTCAAGTTTACACCACTGTAGCTGATTTTAGCACTTCATACTTTAAAGTCCATGACAGATTTCATTCGTTCTCCGAAAGGGTATGCCATGAGGGTACATCTTCAGAGCTGAGGCTGGCAGTGCCTTTCTAGGTGACCATGGGCCCACTACTAATTCAACTTCTTGGTCAACCAACCAGCTGTGAAACTGGAAAACCTGGATTCCAGTTTGAAAAGGAGATACTGCCACAAGACTGCACAGTAGCGGGTAAAAGAGCCAGCACTGGACAAGCACAGATGGCCTATGGCAGGAATGTGATGATCGATTCACACTATCCCAAACATTTGCTGGGACTAAGAGGGCATGGAGGTGGTGGGGAAAGAAGGTGCCATTTTGAAATCTTTCCCTGACCATTCTTTCTGTCTCTCTTGCCTCTCCTCATTTGTTCTCCTCTATCCCATCTCATTTTTTTCGGAGACATGGTGGACGAGAAGATCTCTGAACTGGTAGACACGAAGTTACCTGACAAGGAGGATGGAGTAGAGTAGGAAGTCTTCCTGCATTGAAAACAGCAGCTCAAGGTCAGTCTGAAGTTCCAGAAGAGGAGATTAAGCCTGTACCATGACAGCTTCAATCTTGGATCAAAATGCTAACACTCCCCCAAGTCCGGGGATAGTTGGTTCTCTAAGTGTTACTCAAGCTATATCTGCTGCTGAATAAAAACAAGTAGGAAGCTGATGAAAATCACCCAAAAGAGAAAGAAAAAAAGCGTACTGCAATGACAATACCTTGTCATGGTAAGCCCATAAATGGTTATTCTATATACACCAGACAAAGAATTTCCCCAAAAATCTTAATGAAGAAACATCAAATTCATTTTTCTTGTCACTTAGCAGACACATTCAATGAGGACTTTCCAGCTGTGGTTTTAGGCTGCTAAACTAATTGGGGTAGGAACTCTTCCCCTGCCTTTGAAATGAAAGCTGTAGCTTTATGAAGAGCGATTGTTGTCAGAGAGGTCTTCCCAAACTTCCCTTGTCATTTTCTGAATTTTGCTGGAGGACAAAATGGCATTTTTATCTGCACAAGATCTGCTTGGAATATCCCTGGGGATTTCCCTTTAAAACAGACTTTGGTTTGAATGTAAACTGCAGAAACACCCCAAGGAAACAAAAAGCCTGGCCTGCAGCCACCCTATTGTCTAGGGGGGAGAGACAACAAGGAGAGAGAGAAAATATAGTCTGTAATCACAATGCTTTCGAAAGAAAAAAAATAGACACAAATCACATGCTTTCTTGAAATGCCAAAACAGGGGTCAGGTTGGTAAATTCCATGCTTTAGTCTCAGCCAAAATCCTTCACTGAAAAGGAAATCTGAATACCAAAGGGCAAGTGTCTCAGATTAGAAACATCTTTATGGCAGTGATGAAAAGTAAATGGGTCTTTCCAAGAAAAAGAAATTCCCCTTGTTTTCCAGTTCATTTTGAATAGATCATGAGCTTCTTTGTACTTAGCAACTAACTCATAGGGGTATATTTGGGTAATTACATGTACTAGTTCTACTGACTCTCATATGGCCACTCATATTCTGGAAGAGATGCCTACACGGTGTCTGCTTTTGGCCAAGCCCCAGTGCTATCATCCTGCCTTCGAGATGTGATTCCTCTGGAGACAGCTGAAGCTGATCAAGATGTGACTGCCCACCATGGTGCACTGCCATCTCCCTGTGCCTATGGGGCTGGGGCTGGGAAAGGAGAGGCCTGATCCTCCCAGTCCATCCCAGGGCACACTACACTGCCTTTTACATAGAACGGAGTGGGCCCACTCATCAAGCTCCTTCCAGCAACTCAGCTGTGGGATGTTTTGGAGGGGTTGAAAACTAAGGACTTGTCTGACCGTGCTTGTGCATCCTAAAAGTGCTGCTTCTGAATTGCCAGCTCAGAGAAGGCGGCTGCAGAGTTCCTCTGCCTCATTTGTGATGGCCTGGCACCTCATATTGGTACTGACTTCTGAGTAAAGTGTGGCAGTAAATGTTTCCAGTACTGTCTGGTGGGATACAGGATCCTGGTAATATATGAAATTGGAATGTGTAGGCAGCTGAGCTGACTCTAAAGACTGAAAGATTAGGACTCTGACCATCAAACTCACAAACTAGCAGAACACACCTTAAATAGCATAAGATTCTAAAAACAAAGGAACCCTAAACATTGGAATTCTTCTGATGCGCTTTAGATCTTTTTGAGGGAGGAATGCAAATCAGCAAAAAGTTTCTTTCCCTCTTTTTTCAAATAAATGGATCCATAGAAAAGTGGTCCCAGGAACTGAACACTTGAAGAATCTTAGCAAATATCATTAAGACTGGCAGCATCATTGTTCCTCTTGCAGCTCATGAGAATATGGTGATTTGAGACCCCACTTCAAGCTTTTAACACTCAGAAACATCTCCCCTGTTTGGCTTTTAAAGTCTGCAGCTCCTCTGTCAATAGGTGTCAATAAACATGGCTACTCCTGTCTCACAAAGAAAACTGTTGAGCTGGAAGCTGTCTACTTCCAATGGTTTCACCAACAGCTTTCTCTGTCTATCCTTGTGTTTCCTGAACTTGCCAGTGTAATCTGTGTTTTGTGAGAGCTCTGCCTACAGCAATTGGCTCTCTGTTAACTCTTTTTCCATCATTCTGGTTCTCCCATCTAACACATACTATATGAGCAGGATGTGCCATGCAGAACTCTGCTACCAAGGCACTGGTGACAGCAGAGAAAGCTGATATCCTCTGCAGGTAGCTTCTAGTGCCTACCAAACATGGTGGCACAGGGCTGCCCCCAGGCCCGAATGGCATAGTCCATCAAGGTGAACAAACTGGGCATGGATGAAGTCTGGGGGCTTACCTGGGGAAGCGCTTGTACCACCGTGTCCAGAAGAGCTCGCATCCCAGTGGCCATTTTAAGCAGTTTCAGCACTACAATGAGAATCAAATCCTGGTCAGCAGGGCTGGGAAATATTTCAAGCAAAACCCATAAAGGAAATCTAGCTTCAGATCTTGTAGGGAGGGTTTACATCTCTCTTACATCTATTCATACAGATGGCAAGCTCACTGCATCCTGGCAGGGCCCACAGAACATCTGAGCATCCTGACTACTTCCCGCACCAATTAATGTTAAGGACGTCAGTAAAACAGACCAAAGGCCAGAAGAACTCCAGCATGCCTTAGCAGGAAAACGGGAGAGTGATGGGGAGACACTTCATCAGTGAAGAGCATCATCTCAAGCTCTGATCCTCCCTTATCCACCACTTCTTGCTCTTGTCTGGTATCAGTATAAAAGGCCTGTGATCCCAGGTTTGAATTAGAGACCAATCTAAGATGCCACTGGAAACACCCATAAAACCCCAACTAGCTTGTCTCTGAACTGACATTTTGCAGCCTCATCGCCTAACTGTTCTCAAGTCAAACTGAAACAGCAGGACTAGAAAAACAAATGGCCAAACCATTTCTTGATGTGTCTGGAGGGATGGCTGAAGACCTACACAGCAGGCCGTACCTCTTGCTATTCTCAGGACCCTCATGATGCGTATTATTGTGGGATTGATGGGCAATGCGGCATTCATCTCAATTTCCTCCAGTGTGATTCCCACAATTGATAAGAGAACTATGGCCAAATCCAGCTGATTCCACCTAACAAAGAGAGGAAGGACAAAAAAAAAATAAAAATCATACATGGACAGACACCCAAAAGGAGAGAATTATCTGTTAATAACAATGGCAAGCAAATCCCAAATGCCTCTCCTCTCTCATATCTGGGCCCATGATCTTCTATGTGGTACAATATCAACTCACTGCAGCTGGCACAGACAGCCTCCAAGCCACAGGCTGCTGTAGGCTGGGGGTGGGGGGGGGGAAAAAATAAAAATCATACATGGACAGACACCCAAAAGGAGAGAATTATCTGTTAATAACAATGGCAAGCAAATCCCAAATGCCTCTCCTCTCTCATATCTGGGCCCATGATCTTCTATGTGGTACAATATCAACTCACTGCAGCTGGCACAGACAGCCTCCAAGCCACAGGCTGCTGTAGGCTGTGGCTTGGAAGTGTCCCTGCCTACTTCCCAGTCCCTGTCGTCCCCCTGCTATCCACTTGGAGCCACTCTCAGGGACAAGATACTAGGCTAGAGGGACCTTTGATGTGATGCAACACAGCTGCTCCCATGTTATGTCACCTGTCTCTTGAATGACTCCACTTGAATATCTTCATTGATTTATAGCCTAACACATGTAGAGGGCCTTCCACACCAGCACTACAAAGACAGTAAGATGTGAAGAAACTGAGTGACTTTTCTATGCAATTTCCTTCATAAGTAATATTGCTCATAGCAGCTTCCAACCACTGTGTCAGGATAAATGAGGAAAACAAGCTAGTTTTGTGGAGAAGTGTTCAGTCTTACCCTGCTCCCCAGCAAGTCACCAGACCACAACGTACTCTCACCTGCATTTGCTTCTGGCTAAATGTGAGGCAGAATAAGATCCACAAGTCTCTGCAGCTGGGATCTGAAGGCAACGCGGCTGAATACAACTACCTCTGTCTTTGCCAAAGGCTTTACAAAGCCAGCAGCCTACCAAAGGACTGGTTTGGACTGCAAAGGAGACTTGTTCTGAGGGACTTTGTGGTCTTAGGTTGCCAAAGCTACTCTTTTGAGCACTGGATTGATGCCAACAGGTTGTTTCTGACCTCTAAGCTGAGCCAGTCGGATCTGGTGGAGAGGCAGATACTGGGGGAAAGAATGTCTCTAGAATTTTGTAAGATTTCCTGAATTCCTTCTGCAAAGCAGTACCAGCAGTTCTTCGAATTTTTAGTTCCTACACTATAAAATTTGCACCCATGCAGAGAGAGCCCTTTGCTCTTCCTTGCACACAGCATGTAGTACTATCATAGTGACGCTACATTTACCCAGCATCTGGCTTTGAAACTGGGTTAATACAGCTCTATCCCAAATGCACAGGAATTTAAATACTCTTACCTGTCCTTAAAGAACCTTCGAAAACCAAATGCCACCAACTTCAGAACTGCCTCGAACACAAAAACTATGGTGAACACATAGTTGCAGTACTTCAGGGCCTCATCCAGGGACTGAGAAGAGAGACACCAGTTAGACCAGCCCAAGCTATCCTTTCCCAGAACCCCTGCAGAGGGACTGGCAGGCACAAGGGTGGCATAGGCACAGAGATGTGAGAAGTGAAGTCATAATAGCTTACAGAGCTCAGTTGCAAAACGGCACTAAATCACACAGCAAAACTCAAAGAAAGGAATAGACACTGATGCAAACAAAAACCTCATAAGCACTAATACTAGTTGTGCTAAAAATGTAAAGAGCCATCAACCCTCCAACTTCAGTGCACAAATTGTTCAGTCTGGGTCAGAGAGAAAATTTTACCCCTTCTCATCTAATAAAGTTTACTTCTTCAGATCTGCCTAGCCTTGCGTAGAATAAAAGGCTTGATGGATCATTTCTTTATTCCAGCATGGCAATCCTTAGGACAATGGCTTTGCTTAAAACACTCAGAAAAATAAATAATGTCGGAGACGGATTAAATCTTGCCTTCTTGAAAAATGTTACATCTCTAGAGCTGGGCAAAGTATGTCCATATTTGGTGCAATGTTCACGCTCTCTATAGACCTGCTCTCGGAAGTCAGGAATCTGCAGTGTTTATACTTTAAGATGATGAGTGTTCATAATGGATTTCATTGGAACTGTAGGCCAACAATAGCAAAAGAATCTTGCTGGGGCCTTAAAATAGATAGTTGCAGAGTGAAACAGCTCTTTGGTTGGGTAGGGATTTGGGGAGAGGAGGGAGGGAAGGGGAATTTAGTTAAATGTAGTATAGGTCTCTTACAATAAAAAAATGGTAACAGCAAACATCAAACCAGACACAATTGGAAGTAAAATGCAACAGAGGAGTCTGCAAAGCAATGTCTGCTTTGTTGACAGAAGCCTCAGGCCACTGGAAAGCTCTCCTGGTCACAATTGTGTGATAACTGTGCTTTACTGATATGTGGGATGACCATGCACTGATTTTTTGGGAACAAGAGCTGAAAGTTTTTCAGATGTTGGCATTCCTCAATGCACTACTATCCCCATTTTTGTTCCAGTGCCTAAAATAAAATGGAAACTTAAGAGAATATGGGATAATTTACTATTTCATCTGAAGCACACTGCCTGAGCCTGAATTCTCGTATCATTTGTGATGGTTTGCATTGAGGTTTACACCACTGTGTTTTACATGAATATAAAACAAGTATAAATAAGACCTAATCTGGATAAATAACATTTACATGCAAAATAAAGGCTGTTATGCAAAAGAATCGTGGGGGCAGAACAGCACACAGTCAGCTGGCGTAAAATACACACACGTTACCCTGTGGCTTGGTGCCCCTCTGGCTTAGCTTCCAGGAGGCATTTGCAGGTTACCTGGCAGACCATGCAATACTAGAAAAGTAAACACTGAGCCTAGAGCTCCATGAATGATAAAGCGATAGAAGATTAATATATGTGGCAAATGGACAAGCTATATGATTTATGCCAAAGGTTTTCTTGGGAAAGAAGGATTTTATGATACATAAAGAAAAGAAGGCTTGTACTTAAGAGCTGGTTTATTCTAAATTCACTGAGGAAATGAAACATTGCTCTGCATGCATTAACTTCATGTTTATATCTGTTAATGGAATATTCTAAAACTCTGGATTGTTTTACAGTCTGAGGGTCAGTCATGTCTGCGATCAGAAGAGGAAATATTTGGACTGGTCTTTTCCTAGTAAAAGTTTAGTTCACTCTCCATTAGCCTTATTCTCTGTTTTTTTTTTATTCAAGAGTGGGGAAATCAAGCTTTTGGCTAGGGCAAGTGAGTCCTGAATGGTAGAGCTCACCTAGAGTTAGAAGGATTGCAATGCCGAGCCTGGAGCCTGCCGAGGCTTTCAAACAACAGGGAATAGTCCCGGGGAAGCAGGGCTGGCTGCAGACCTCATTGGCCAAGGAAACAGTGTATGGTCCTCAGGCCCCCTGCTACCTCGTGCTGCTGTTTCATGGCCAACATGATGGGTGGCTCTTACCTTTGGCTGGTTGTAGTGCTCCATTGACATAGTGATGACATTGACCCCAATGATGAATGTGATGAAGAGGTCGAGATAGTGGCTGGTGCAGAGGGTGTGAATGTACTTCCGTGCTGGGGAATAGTCAGCATAGTAAGGCCTGCGTTGGGCTTCTGCAGAAGAAGACAAAGAAAGGCAATGCAATGAATGCAGGCCCTGCTGCACAGTTGGCAGCCATCACAACGTGGCCTGCGGGTCATGTCTTACACACCCCTGGATGCAGGGCAAAGCCCTTGGGAGAACTGATTCAAGCAAGCCATGTGAAACGGCCAAGTGCTTCTTCCTAGCAGCGAGGCCTTCAAGAACCGTAGTGGGGTTATCAGGCTGAGCCAAACCTCTTGTGCCTGCAGAAGGGACCTCCACAGCTTTGACAACCAGGTCCCAAGTGTGCTCTGTTCTTACTGCTCTGTCTCAGGCTAGAAGACGACCTCTTCACTTAATGGGACTCGTCACAAACCAGGAAGGGTGAGAAGCAGGATGGAAATGAGACTCAAAGCCAAGAGAAAAGCTTCAAACCCAGCAAAGCTTCAGCTCCAGTTTAGAGGAAGGGTCGAGGGCAGGTCTCATTGGTCTGGACTCTGATATGCATCTCTCCTAATCCCACTGATGTCAGGCATGCTCCACATAAGAGAAGAACATAACCTGAGCTCAGGTTCTGTGACAGAAGGCTTTTGGTGTATTTTAAAGGTCTAAAGAAAACAAAGCAATGCCTGTGGCAAAGGAGGACACATGCGTGAGGCTTAGTAGCACACAGAAGAGCATCAACAGCAATGGAGTGGGGTGCTCAGCATTTGTCTCGACAAAGACTGTCAGCACAAGCTTCTCTGAAAATATAAGAACAAGGACATGGTTGCATCTAAAAAACCATTCAGGCTATGATTACATGAATTTTATATCTCTGCCTCTGATCATGACTCCTCCTTTCTTCTCTTTGAAATGGGGAAATTTCTGCATATGACCAAGTTCCCTGGGCTGTTCCAAGGAGAATGTTTGGACACTGCCCTGCAACCGAGTTGTATTTACTGTGTGTGTCTCTCTTAAATTAGACTGTGACCACAAGATGGCTGTGGGCACTCAGATGGAGTCGAATTCTTTTCAAACTTAAGAAATGTAAATATTCAGAGAGTTTACTTAAGGCCAAAGTCAGTATTACTGTAGATTTTGCAAGTGGAAGAGACATCTTAGGTCACACTAAGTCAGAGCAGGATTGTTCTTAATGGAGAGGGATTTTTTTGGCAGATGGTTCAGCAAATTCAACTTTAAATGCATGAGGAGCTGGGAAAAAGGAGTTGCTTCACCTTAAAAATAAGGAGGGAAATAGTTTCAAAAGTACTCAGTGACCCCTTGAAATACATTTTCCACTCCTCTCATCTTGCTAATATCTTTCAGATGGAGTGACTCTTGAAACGTGGGGTTTTTTTTTGGTAGTGCAACTGATGCCAGATTAGAGTCCAAAACCCTAAAATAAATTGGATAAAGGGAAACTGAACCTGTTGCTCTCTTTCAACTACTATTTTTTTCTGGTAGTTAAAAGTGGAGTAGAGGCATTTGAAAAATATTTCATTCTGACTGGGGTCACCTAGACTTATTTTTTCTGCTAATGGGTGTGGAAAAACTTCTGTTGCTTTCACATGCCTTAGTCCTACCAGTCATCTTGGACTGGTATGGCTGTCTTTGCTACTGAGCTTGGCTAATCTTCCGGTGTGTCTAAAAAATAATAAAAACATTGCAGTATAATACTTATTTAAGTCTGTGATTACGACATACTTTTTCTTTTTTTTTTTTCTTTTAATTTTTGGAATTGTCTTCTTGGGAATGCAAAAAATCAGCTTGTTGGGAGGTCTGAGAATATCCCAAACAGTCAAACGATATATTAAGGGACTATTTATTAATGACTAATGGTTGATTAATGGATCTCAGAAGAACATTAGCAGTGATGGGCAGTGTGTGAATACACTGGCTAACAGCACATACGGAAAACAGGCTGTAGGTGACTGCAACTACTCTCTAACCTGCCTAAATGCAGCCACTGATTAACTATTCAGTAAAAGATCAGGTGTTTATTACATTTTATAAACTAATTATATCATTCTAAAGCATAATCCCAAGAAGACAACTTCCACTGTAAAGCCGCTGAACAGAAAACCTTCTAGGCTGCCTGTCAGCAACACAGCTTTCTTTTCATGGGCTGGATATACAAATAGTAAGAAGGAACCACCCAGCCATAAAGATGGGTCTGTTTTATTGCGTGAAAGCGTTTCAGAGGTCTGCGTGTGTACACTCTGCCAGTGCTCAGAGCTGGCTGTGCCTGGTCAACTGGTTGCTCAGAGAACTTGAGACAGGTTTAACTTGACCTGGGATGAGGGAGCTCAAGGAAATGCCATACTCATTTAGGATCTACTACATCCCTGAAGCGAGGTTAACAGATGAAAAGGAAACTTCTCCTGGGGGGACACATACAAGGACAGTTTGGGATAAAGTTGACAACGCTTTGAAACACATGCAACAACACTGTCATGCTCAGTGCAGTAACCCATGCAATGTCCATTAGAGGAGATACTGCTCATGCGAGGCTAACGGTAGTGAGCAGGGGTGTGCAGGAAGGACAGATCAGCTTCTGCTCTCGGTGGTGCTAGTGTTGCATCAGGACAATCCCATGAAGGCAGAGGGGTTGCAGCAGGGTGAAAGCAGTGAGAGATTAGCCACACAGCTTCACTGCAGCTCTGACACTCTCCGAGCAGGAGGGAGGCTGCATTTCAGAGCTCCAAGGCCCCCAGCTCTGCTGGGTCACTATTCATTCCCAGTCCCTTTAGGAACAGGAGTTTTACTTCGGTCAACAGCACAGCAAGTGGCTCTGGACTCCTTTCAGTTAGACACACATTTTTAGCTCTTAGTGAGAATATACTATGATATTCTCCCCAGTCTGGGTGTAAGTGTTCACCACACACACCTACTGCTACAGCCTGGTCAACCAGAGACATGGGGTCTGCAGGAGAACATGTGTGAGGAGAACAGTGGACCACGGGGACACGGGCACGGCAAATGGGGAAGATCTAATGCATTGTTAATTACAGTAGGCAAAATACAACCTGTGCCTGGTTTCTCCAGGGAAATAGTTTTTGGGATGAGACTCCAATCAGCCAACTAGCAGACATATCAAACACAGACAAGTATCCCTGCAGCTAACGGTTTGAACTGGTGGAAATGCAGGAGGGAAAGGAGAAACCATCAAACATATGCAAAAGGAAAACCACACTCCTTTCTTGCCCCCCACTTCTAGATATTGGCTAATGCTTGAACCTCACCTCTCTGAAGAGTATTTAAACTTCTTTGCTTATGATTCTGCTGACATGAAAATTAATGAAGCCCTGTCTCCTAGCTTAAAAGCATTTAGGTTGGCATTACAATTGCTAGCCACAGCTCCTCCATTATTCTCCTCTGCATGAAACATTAGAAAGCCCTAATGGGTTTATATGCATGCTTGGCACAGAGTAGCTCTATACCTGCAGCTGCCTGGAAAAATAAGCAAGATGGTTTGATAATTCCCTAGTTGGAAATACTAAACACTCAGATATGCAGTGCCCAAAATTTTAGTTACAGCTCAAACGTTTCTGCTGGATACAGAGATGGCTGTGGCACTGAGAGGATGGACTAATTTAAATACCATTGTGTGCTGCCCACTATTGCTCACCCCTAGAGAGAAAGGCTTACAGTCAGTGCTCTGAAAGGCATCTCTGCTGGGTCTTAAAACAAAACTGGCCTCTTCTTTCTACAATGTCCAGACATTCAGCTTTGTGTTGGGAAATGCCTCAGAGAAACACAACTGTGGCCACACTCCTCTCGTACAGAGTGGTAATCACGGAAAAGCATTTGCCTTTTCTCAGATCTCAGTTTTTGGGGGTCTTCCCAGGGACCAGTGACTCGGTGACACTACTGAAAGGCACTCTCTGCTCCCCAGCTAGGGCCTCCCCTGGGCTGTGTCAGGCATTCCCAGCTTTGCCTGCACTGCTTTTGGCACAGTGTCACCCAGACCCCGCTTGCAGCCCTTGAAGCCCAGGGTACTGCCTGTGTTTGACCTGACATTGCGTGCTGCTCAGCGGGCCAAGTGGCTGCTGCCTTCACAGCAGATACAGGCGGGTTGGATTTGGCCCCGTATCCTGAATGCAGACGAGATCAAGCCGATCCATGTGGTTTTAATCAAAAACTTTAATCTGGGGAGGCTGGTTTCAGTCTGTGTCTTCTGAGAATCTCATTAAAAGGTTAGGAGCTGCAGGATTATTAAATTACACTACACTTATTTACATAGTAGATATAGTAGATGGAGGTAGTGACTGTATCAGAAAAATATTCTGGTTTATCTTGAATTTTTACCTTCACGTGAAAAAGTACACTGTGTACTTCTGCCTTTAAAACCACATCAAATGCATTTCTACGGTGCTGTCACAGCAGCAGTGCCTTGCTGACATGTTGGGTCCATGAGCTCCGTTGCCAGTGCCTTGAGTGATGCTTGTCACAGGAGCAGAGAGAGTCAAGGCACGCTGACAAGGGGTGTGGGGTGTCACCCTGTCCCAATCCCTTCATGAAAGTGGCCCTCAGATGGGAAATAAGAAACTTTTTGGAAAGGTCTGAGGTGGTATCTGACAGTAGAGATGTGGGCTGAGAGGGACCTTCCTGCCAGGCTCCTGAAATGCCTGAAAAGTACCCCCAAAAAAGACACGTGATGATTCCCCATCCTACCTGCATGGGGTCTGATGAAGGAGCTGTGTCCTGCTGCAGGGCTGTGTCCTCAATGGAGCAATCCCTCTGCCAGGCTCATAGCTCTGCAGCCAGGGTCCAAATCCTGGACCCAGCCTGCAGAGCCTGGGATTCGTACCCAGGGCCTGCTCGGGTGGGACCGTCCAGGCACTGATAAGCTGAGGCTTGACCCATTGCCAGGCCTGAGCCCAAGCCTACTATGGCTCAATGGTGCATTTCTGTGTGTGTAGGTACCTACAGATGCCCAAAGACCTCAATACACAGAAACAGACACAGAGGACATTACGGACAGGAGACAGGACAAGAATGCCAGGCAGACAGGGCGAGTCCAGATGGACGGGTGCTGCTCAGATAGTATGTTAGCTATGCTGGATTTTACTCTTGTTAACAGCCCTAATTTTTCCTCCTCTTATGGTCTCTTCAGGCCAAATACTAGAAATGGCAACTGAAGTAAAAGCAGGTCTCTCTGCTAGGCTTCCCAACGTAGGCTTCTTGCTCCTCTGCAGAATCACTGGTCTCCTGTGCCCACCCTGCCCCATGGGGACTGGCCTCTCACCCGTCCTCTGTATGGGTGAGACACACAGCGCTGGGGCACGTGGAAAGCTGGCCAGCCCCCTGTCACCGTGCAGCATCCCATACCTGCACGTGCACACAGACGCTCCCCCACAGAGACTCTGCCATGCATGGCACCAACCACATCTCACATCTTTCTGAGTCTGCCACGTTTTTTCTCCAAATCCATCATCTTCTAAATTACCCAGGAGGTGAAAACTCCTCCCATTTAAATTAAAAAAAAAAAAACCCAAAACATTAAAATGTAAATAGTAATCTTCAAAAATGTGTATCAGATATTTGATTTCACCTTGTTAATAAGTCAAATTTGGATGCCAAGCTGTCCATGCTGAACAGAGGTAGGTAGGAGACCTCAGAGCCAGATGATCTGAGGTAACCTCCTGGAAGTCCAGCACATGGCCAAACGTTTAGCCTCTCAGTTGCTCTATTGGACTTGATTGCCTTCCAGAAAGTTGTCCTCCTCCCTGCACACTCTCAGTGAAATATTACAACCCACATCTGTGCAATGCTTGGTTCTGCGGTCTGAAATATCTCCTTGACTCTGTCCTTCAAGATAGCTGGATAAAGAGGGGCAATGTAACAGTGTCCATCAATTTGACAGGGACTGGCTCTTTTCGGTGTCTAAGCAGCAAGCCACAGACAGGCTTGTAATAAGATTTACTTACTAATCAGGAACAGCAACTGGCTGTGGTTAAGCTATCCCTCCTTACCTGTGCCCCAGTCTATTTTCTCTAACGATGCTTAATGTTCTTTGTAAAGCTAAACTTTGAGTTTATCTGAATGTCTTCTTGGGTCAGCAGACTGGGGTAGAAATACTGCACAAGAAGGAGGACTCTTGAAAGCCTGAAACTGATTTCTCTTACTGTGCTGGAAATGCTGCCTTCAGGATTTCCACTTCTAATCCTAGCTGGAACCTCAAACTCAAAAACCAAAATGGAAATAGGGAAATGAAATTGCATTTGAACTCTTCTAAATCGCTGAAGAGATTCAGCATCTGTTTGCAGCTGGCTAGTTTGATCTAGATTTCATTTTAACCCAGCTACTTAACTCGCAACTAGCTAAAATGAAATGGGCTTGGCCTTCACTGTGGTGTCAGGTCAGTTTATCATTAAGGCCCTGTGGAGACCATGGTGCAGACGTTTAGTGCTGAGGTCTCCCATGGCTCTAATAAAGAGGACCACAAGAGCAGGAGTGAGCTGCAAGGGATATAGCTGCCTGTGTTGACTCCAGTGTGGATGGATGGAGGAAATTAGCTGGGGTTTCTACTAGCAAAGTCTCTGACTGCTATGTCCTTAGAGCTAGGCAAAAGACTATTTGATCTAACCGCAGTTTTCCCAGCTGAAAATGGATACCTATGGCTTGATGTTTGGGAGACAACTAGCCATTTGTCACAATGAGATATTAGGTCCTTACAGGAGATTACACAGGGCAGCACAGTGCTAGGCAAAGAGCCACAGGACTGCTGAGGCATGCAGGGCCAGAAGCACTCAAGCCTTATCCCTGACTAAGATCATCTTTGATCACAGTGGCCAAGCCGTGTTCCCTCACTTCTAAAAAATGCTTGCCAGCATCTAATGCAGGCTATGCCTGTGCACTAAAACTGGCTGGGATGTTAGTGTGGCTGGTTTCCCGGCAGTTTCCCTGGGAATACCCACCAGATGCTATAGGCAGCTTGTCCCTGGTGGAGCCTGCCAAGGAGCAGTGGAGGTGTGAATGAATACATGAGAACCCCTGGGAAGATTTGGGTCACGAAAGGAGCACAAGCTCAGGTGTTTTTCTGGTCTAGTTTGATGGTCCCTACTAGATCTGCTAAGAAGCAGATTTCAGCTAAAGACCTTCTGTTGCACCCTAATGACCCTGCATCTGGCCGGTATTTCCATGTAGACTGATTGCAAGGACAAACTGAGTCCCAGCACATTGCTCAGCAGTTAAGGGCTCCCCCAGCCTGTGATGGGGCAAGCATCTCTTGTAATGGACATCCTCCAGAGAATAATTTTCTGGACTGCCCCATCTTGGGGCTCCATTCCTCTCCCCAGGGCTCTCTGTTGGTTTGTTCATGCCCTCATGCAGCATGTTTGTGGCATGCAGGGCCATGCGCTAGGACTCTAAAAAGCATCGCAATTATTTTGTCTAAGAAAAGAACTAATAAATCAAACCACCACCATCATCAGATGCAAGCGGCACATTAAGCCACAGGGCCACCCTCGGGACTGGCCTTCACTCACACAGTAAGCATTGCAGCTGTTTACTCACTGCATCCCTCAGTCACACCGCAAGCTCCCGCTTGGTGCTTGGGACACCTTTGCCGTGCAGAGCATGACAGAGGACTCTGCTTGGAGGATTATTTTCTCCCCAGCCAAGTAAACAGGTAATGCTTTACATCAGGCTTGTAGAGGACAATTCCAGGGTGTTGGCAACCCAAGACTTAAGGTACCGCCAAAGAGGTAACGAAGCAAAACAGCATCTTGAATCCCATGGAAACAAAACCAAAGGAAAACGAAAGTCTTGCTTTGGGAGCAGGCAGGGCTCAGAAAGATTTTGGTTTGTAATGCAGTCTACCGACCAGACAGGTATATCTCCTTACTCCTGCGCTTTTTCTCCAAGCGTCTCAGCCGCTTCTCCTCCCGACGCCGGGCCTCCTCCGCCTCCTGGTGCTGTCGGCACTTGTGAAAGTTCTCCACCACCACCCCCACAAACATGTTGAGCACGAAGAAGCTGACGATGAGCAGGAAGGAAATGAAGTAGAGAAGCATCCAAGGGTTATGGTTCTGGATGGGCTGGTGAGGTGGGGAATTAAAAAACAAGAGAGAAGCGGCATAGACAAGATGTGTATAAGTCAGGATATTGGGCACTCTGTAGGAACAAGACAGCAAAACAGTTTCCTCTCATTCACTTTCTCACTGACTAGAATTTTACTTTTGTTGTAAAACCTGTCCTAGCCTCTGTAAGTTGGCCTACAGGATTTAATTATTTTGGCATTTATTTCATACAGCTTAAGATAAATCTCAGTGCATGTGCATCATCCCACCCACAAGATCATTTTAGTTAAAGATAGGCTCCATCTTTTTTTTTTAGATGTGGGCTCATGGTTAATGTTTCTCAGTTGTTATGAGATCTTCAGAAGCAGGGGAAAAATAAGTATGAAGTGTTACTGTAGCTATGATGGGGTACTACTCATCTAAGGCTCTTTACTTTCCTTTGCGAATGTCACATTACGCACAAACTTAACAATGTCTCTTTCACAACTTCACAACTTTCCTGGTTGTTTCCCATCTCGTGCGAGTTTGCTCTTATTCATCATGCCTTCTGTGAAGCCACAGTGCAATGGCACGTGTGGCCCTCCTCAAGTACCATCATTCTAATTAAAAACCTCATCAGTGCTTATTTCTGTACTACATGGGGTGCAGCCACTGTAAAAGCTACTCAGTGGAGAACAGAAAACCTTGGCAGTCCAATGGGCAGTAAGGACCTCAAGAAGGTCCTGTAGCTCTGCTTCTTCCTGGGACTTCAAAAACACCAGGGTCACCCAGGCATGAGACTTCTGAGAGCAACACATCTGGACTCTGCAGTACATTTACCTGTTGGTCAATACCCACGGCATCCAAACCATCATACATGATGTTTACCCAGCCATCTTTGGAGGAGAGGACAAACAAGGACATGAGTGCCTATAAGAAAACAAACAAACAAACTAACAAACAGAAAAGATTGGTCTTGCATTTTAGTCCCCAGAAAGGAAACTAACAACAGACAATGCTCAGCAAAACCAATCCACAGCTCATAAAACATCATCTGGCCTGGAGCTGGTGGAGAAATGCAACACATTGTGGCTTGCTTTTACCTATTTCCGTATCTGGCTTAAAAGGGAGCAAACTATGGTCATTAACATTCCTTTTCCCTCACATATAGGCTGACTTTTGCTCAGACACATCAGGCTTTCTGGTCACCAAAGTATGATTAAAAATCAATATGTCAGGCTGACACAATGTCACGAGGTTTTAAAAAGCAATAACATATCCCAGGTCCTACTATGGGCTGTCTTGCTTTTCAGCCAGTATAAAGCACCTTATTTTATCCATTTGCAGACCTAACAGCTAGAAGTCAAGAAACTAAAAGTGACAGCTGAGGTCTATACATGCAAAAGCAGTGCCTTTAAGAAAACACTCTCCTATAAAGCAGGAATTGTATAACCCTAGGAAGTCTGGCTGCAAGAGATCAAGAGGTGACCTGATTCATTTTTACCCAGTTAGGGTTGCTTCTGATAGATGAATGCCTATGTCATTCTTGGAAACTTCCTATGATAGAAGTTCCACACCCTCCTCAAGGAATACATTTTAAGTGCTCATCCATTAAAAACTGGTACAGAAAATCCCTGCAATGAGGACTTTACCTGTCCCAAATTGTCAAAATTGTACTTCCGCCGAACCCATTTGTAGCGTGCGTTAGTGCAGTCAGTCTTCGTAGTGATGTTTTTTACATCATGACCATCACAGTAGTAGAACTTGCCTTTAAAAAGCTGTATTTGAGAAGCAAGAAAAAAAGAAAAAAACAAAAAAGAAGCAGCTTTGAAAAGTCTGTCCCTTGATTTATCTTTCTTTTCCCTAGTAGAGTTGCTTGCCAAGTTCAAATTCCTTTCCTTTCCTTCCAGCTCGGATACCTGTCTTAACACACATGTCAGGAGAACACCTCTGGTGAAACTTCAGGCCCTGAGACATTGTTGTGTATTGCCTCAGACACAGAAGGAAGGAGATCCTGCAGGCCTGCCCTGTCTTGTTGGGAGGATGACAATCTCCCCTCTGCGGAAGAGATGTTATATACATCCTAGCACACAGAGCTGGGAGGGATCTTCGGAATTTGTCTTTTCCTTCCCCTACCCTCAGGTAGGCTTAGCCAGTGCTGTGTTGTTCACCAGGGAGGTCTGCTCTTCTAATCCTGAGAACCTTCGAATAAGCAGATGCCAACTGCACCTCAGAGCATTTCTTCTAGGGCATGGCTCTTCTTTTCTAACACCTAACTGAAATCTTTCTTTGGAGAGATTTAAGCTCGTTACTACCACCTTAACCCCAGGTGGTAAGAAAAACAGCTTCTCTTTTGCAGCAGTCACTTACAGATGGCCACGGTGAGGGAAATACTCTACCTGGACCCCTAAAATCCCAAAGATAATGAAGAAAGCACAGCAGATGAGAACAATATTCCCAATAGGCCTCAAGGAGGAGATCAAGGTTTCTACCACCAGCTTCAGACCTGGGGCTCTGCTGATGACTCTGGAAAAAATGGCAAAACAATAAAGCTTTTAATTTTTATGCATGCCCTGTTATTATATCATTGCTTTTCCTCCCTACTGCTTGGGCTGCAGTAAAGCTAATGCAACCCTCCTCTACTTGCAGGCAGCATTCAGATATTATTAGTGACTTATTTGGACAACCACAACATTCACAGTCACATCAGATGGAATTAAAAAAGTATAAGACACCCTGTCAGCAGGGTGTTGGGCAATTGCTTACTAGTTAACACCGAGGAGGGAATACTCTCTACAGGGAGAATGTCACAGAGGTTCCCACTATAGGGCTATTTGTACTTCAGTCCAGAAAGCTGATCCCCTCTGAGGTCTCTCTGATCCAAGCAGAGGCGCACACAGCAGGCAAGAGCCTGCTTCCTAACACAACATATGTCAGCAGCTTCACAGTGGTACTAGAGAGTATGTCTTGTCCTCTTTCTACAGGCATAAGTGCTCACCTGCCCTACTGGCCTGTGACCCATGACAACTTTTCAAACAAAGCAATTTCAATTTGTTTCCTAATTAGTTCCTGTACTGACTTTTAGCTAACAGGAACCTGTGATCAACAGCTCCACAGCCAAAGGGCTATCCCATTAAAGAGCAGCTTGCTCGCTTGCTGTGAGACCCTGAGAGGCCAGGCATGCTCTAAGCACCGCCTGAAGCAGCTTTTGGCTATTATAGAGAACAAGTGTTTTTCTTTCCTGTATGAGCACCTGGAGAATGGCTCTCCCATGGGCGTGTGAAAAATGTGTTTGCACACGTAAGTGTAACTAGCCCAAGCAAGCTTTTCTGGGAAGTTGGGTGTTTTGACTGAAGAACATCAAAGCTTTTTTTTAGGAGGGGCCTGTAGAGGGGAGAGGGTATGAGTCCTTGCAGGCAGCTTGAGCTTGCATGGCTAATGATGCTTTCATGCCTGCCAAACACAGAGAAAAGAGGAGGGTTGTATGCTGCAGGGACAAAGCATTTCAATAGGGTCTTGTTTGGCAGCAAATAATGTGGCAGTCTGAACTGCACCTACAAAGTGTTAGGAATGGTCCCGGGAGTAATACTAGAAGAGGCTGTGATAAGTGAAGCTGTCATGAGAGGTGATGAATTCCTCTCTATTAATAGGATCTGGCCTAGTTATTCTCCAAGAGCAATTCCCTTCTTTCCCCTTACATTTACTTATGAATTGCCTATGCCCTGATTTCTGTTTCTCGTAATGTGTGTTAGACAGGTGCCCTGATGTGCTGCCAGGCCAAGGCTTGTTCAGGGTGATCCAGAGTGGCTCCTGGTGAGCCAGCACTGCAAGGGGACCCCGATGCCACCAGCAGAACAGAGCATGGGAGCAAAAGAGGAGACAGAAACACTCACAAAGTTACTTGTTACTACAGAAACACAGAGCAGCAGAAAAATAGCTGTTGTTCTTGTGGTCAAGGGCCTAAACAAGATTGCCTCTTCCTATTACTCTCATAAGCGAGCCGCTTTTCATCAGAAAGCCTACAGGTCTCAGGAGGTGTCTATCTTATTTCTCCTGAAATTTCATCAAAAAAGGCTTGTGTTTCCTGCCAAGCAGGATGGAAATAGAACAGGAGCCATGAGCTGATAAAAATCCCCCAAGCATTAACACTCTTTGTTATTGCATAATCGTAAACAAAATACAAATTCTCTTTATTCCTTTTCTCAAATACTGAAAGCATCTCCCCTTCCTCTTCCTAGCTGAGAGCTAAATTGTTTTGCAGTAATGTTAGATATGCAGGCTCAGGAGAGCAGGTATAGATGCTGGAGCTTATCAAATTATTGTCAGCACCTGTTCAATTGCAAATTTTCTCCCAGCCAACAAGACCTCTTTGCTTGGGAATGACTGTGAGGTTGTGCAGTTTAACAAGGAGCCAGACTGATTTGTAAAACGGTGATAAAAATGCAGCGTGGAGGAGGCATTCACTGCACTAACTGCCTGAGTACGATAACACCTCTCACTCCAAACTCCATCTGCTCTTTTCCATGCTGGCAAAGATGAATTATAACTAATTTCACTGTTTTCAAACAGTTTCACTAGATAAGAGCTCCCCAAAGATGATTCTACCCATATTGTGTTTCAGCTTTTTGTGTTATTAAGCAAGACCTTGACAGATCATCTGCATTTTTTCAAACTCCTTGATCTATCAACACAAAGCAAACTCAGCCACCCTATCAGTGAACATACCGGAGAGGTCTCAAGGTCCGCAGAAGTCTCAAAACACGAAGGACACCCAGGATCTTAGCTCCGCCTGCTGATGCCATGGAGACAATAATGTCAATGATAGACACAAAGACCAGGACTCCATCCAGGACGTTCCAGCTGCTCTGCAGATACGTGTTCTTCCCAGAGAAAAAGCCAAGAGCTACCACCTACAGCCAGGAGAAGAGAGACATTTAAATCTTCACCCAGATCATAACTATGTCATATTCTGGTCTTTGCTAGGCCTCACTGTGGGCCATGGGAGGAAGATGTAATTACCTTAACCATCATTTCAGCCACAAAGATTGCAGTGAAGATGTAATTAGAAACACTTAGGAATATCCTTTCCTGTAAAACATAGAACAACAAAAAGAGCCAAGTTATTTAAAGACGTTAGATAACAACCATCTTTCAATCTTGCAGGGTCTTGCCCTGACAAGACTAAGATCTGGATGCTGCATCAAGGAATAGAATGACTCAGGTTCTCACCATGCTGTGTGGGTCTATGTCTGGTCGCTCCAGTGCTATAGTGATGCAGTTGAGAAATATGAAGACCAGCACCACATGATCAAACATTTTGTGGGCAATGACCTTCTGGCACATCACTCGGAACCTGAAGAAATGGTGGGGAGAAAAATATCCTTCAGATGTTTGGGTCAGCAAGAGACTCCCACCTGAATGGCACATCCTCAAAAGTCTTCAGCAGCTGTGCCACCAGCATCGGTCCAGGTGGTGAGCTAGTCTCTCCACAAGCTTCAGTCATTATTATCAATGCAGTAAACAAGATGTATTAATAGCTATTATTAATGCTGGTTAAACCACCTAGACAGGCATGGAGTGAACCATGCAACAATTCTGCCCGCATGTAACAGAAAAAGTTACCTAAAAATCAGGAATTGGATTTCTAAAACTCTCAGTGCTCCTGCATCAGAGAGGGATTTTTCTCAAGGGAAGGCTAGCTAGAAATGTAGTATTTCGTTATCACAAAAACCTAGTGGGCTGGCATTTCATGGGATTTCTTACCGATTCTGTGGAGAAAACAAGTAGAGGGACCAGTCTTCATGACTCTTGCACCACTGTGGTTTGTAGGGCTCCAGGACTTTACGAATTCGGTAACAGTAACTCTGGATAGAAAAGAAGAAACACCTTTTCTTCCTCTTTTATTTTCCTGCCTCTTCAACTTTCACAGTCCTTTTGTGAAAGGGGGCAGTACATGGCATTTCATAGCGCCTGTAGGGAGTCATGGCTTTTGGGACAGAGATGTGGCAGGCATTGTCACATTTGTCCAACAAAACAGGGAGTAAAGGGGTGGAAGAAAGGGGCTGCTGTACACTGAGATACGAACATAACAAAGCAAGACTTTCTAGGCAGGTATCATTTCGAGATCCAAATTTGTGTCAAAAACAAAAAGGCCTCAAACAACCACAAAGTTAAATAGAGAACACTCTT